TTTCGTAGGAAAAAAATTCGAGGAAAATGCGAATCGTTTTTTGTTCCCATCCACACATGACCCGAGCCATCGGCTTAGAAACACCAGATTAGCATTGTATTTCAATTGATCTAATGGACCTGACAGGACTCTGATGTCTTAGTTCTCACGCTGAGATGACCACTGAGTGGTCTGGTTCTGTCGCATTATACTAGTCTGTTCCAATGAGAAATGAGCATTCCAGCAAACTTTACCCTGAATTTCGATTCAGATGAACAACCATTCAGCTTCAAATATGTCTTGTTCAGAGTCTTGTTTACTCGGACATGCAATGACACTGTAACTCACCTTGAGCACTTAACATGTGGGTGAAAAGTTGATATTAATATGGTAGGATTCGATACGATGGTCATCAGGCAACTTTAGTCTTTGAAGACAGTCGGACTATGCACACTGAAAGCAATTGCTTACTGCTTTCGCTTGACAAACCTTCGTACATTCTGTGAAGAACAGAGGCCACTAGAGGGAAGAAGCCTTAGAGGCAAGTGCTTTTAACTGAGCACGTGTGTACTTGTGGACGGCTTCAAAGTTTGAGCCGTGGTAATCAAGTAAATTGCTACTGAAAAACGAAATTATTCAACCGCAACATTGAGGAAACGCTCGAGCTGAGCGTTCATCCTCTCGGTTGATTCGCTTGATAGTGTAAGATTCCACTCGAGCAACAGATAAATAGATAGGTTTCGGGTCTCATGTATTTAAATTAAAAAGAAGATCAAGTTTAACCAGTTAGTTTTTTGACTGTGCCTTCAGGGGGCAATCACTCTACCTTGCTATCTGATATATTGTTTGATTAGCCAGCTTTTGTGCACTGCAAAGAGCGTTTTCAAGGAAAAAACCTCCCTTCCTATCTAGGAGGTCTTGCTACAAATACATCTGCCCTAGAAACACGCCATACTATGTATACTGACACAGGACATCAGTTGTCCTTTTCCCAAAAAATGTGACAACCTCACCAATACCATCAAATGTTCTTACTCGAAGTGGTTTCGGGGAGGAACATATGTGAAGTGGTTCGCAAGAGTTGTTTTTGGAAAAGACCAGCTCCGGAATGAATACCATGGATCAGAGATGCACAGTCAGTCTATATAGTGCAACAAAACGAAAATAGCCAGCGCGGAGAAACAGGCATTCACTAACCGTCAACACGGAACCCAAAAAATTGTGAAAAAAAGAAGCAGAAAATTCCAGTGGGTAAGAAGCACTCTCCTGGTAATTCAGCCACGTTAAATTTCAAGTTTACGACGAGATCGCTACTTGGTTACTTTTATCCACAAACCACAAATTGCAGTATTGATATTTCCGAAGCTCTATGAACAGAGTCAAAATATTGTGTAATTTTTTTTCCTAAAAGGCTTGTAACATTTGTACTTATAAATGAACACAACTTCATAGTACTAGCTGCTGTTACGCTGTCTACGCTACACCTGGGAACTTACCTTAGAGATTTTATGAAGAGTTCGTCCAACTACTCCTTTGCTGGACGAATGATGAATTTTCAGTTAAGATCAATTTGGTGTGCGGGTAGGTGTATTCCGCAAATCGCTTTTATTTTGGGTTCAGGGAGAAATTCACCGACTGTGCCAACCTGATGAGCCCCAAGAAGGGCTGTCAGAGAACTCTCACAATTCAATAATCACTCCCTCTTCGAGAAAATGTTGAACAATCTTTAGATGCAAATAGTCGTTTTTGCGGAGAATAATTAAAGTTTTATCTTGTCACAGAAAACTGGAAGAGCTTTAAGTCACTAACTGTGGTGACACACACTAAGCTCGACGAAACTGCTTAACTGTCACTGCCATCGGGCCCAGAAATTAAATAAAAAATAAAGTTTGTGAAGCAGCGATTCATCGGCACTCTTGTTCAAAGGTGAGAGCTTGCACATTTGATGCGGCAAGATTTTTTATATATTTTGCTGTGATATAAACGTGCCATACACGGTTAAACTCTTTTTTTTCAGGAAACGTGCAGATAATAATCACAGAAAAAGTACTTGTTATACAGTTCGAATTGTTTGAAACGTGTATGATAACAAACAAGAAGTGAACATCCATCCATTGATCCACAGTGTTGCACAATGCTTATCTACGTCGCGCTCATGTTGGATGTTCCGGCCACTGATCAAAGGCAAATGAACCGGCAATTACTCAAACTCTGATTACACGGCTCCGTGCAGAATTCGGTGAGTTTTACTAACACTGACCAGTTAAGTCCACTGTGAATTTTACTGTTTACAGCTTTCTGTCCTGATTGACAGATTTCCTATACCCATGTCAATTCATTAGCCTAATTTTCTAGCTAACGAACCAGCTTGAAGGGCTGCGAAGAGTTGTCAAGCATGACTTGATCTTCCGTTTTTCCTGGCTCGTTCCGTGCGTAGTATGATTGCTATTAACTAGGGTCGGTGGAGATGATGGCATTACGGTGACTCATTTAGATCGTCCCCAATCCACCACCCTACGATGAGTAGTGGGAAGATGTCCACTTGGATCCTGTGATTCTGGCAGTTGCGACGGATCAAACCTACCACTAGGTAATTGCCACAAATCACAATTGAAGCCACTTATGCTTCCTCTCTGAGGAAGTAGAACGTGTCCGCTATTACTTTCGAAATAATGAACTTTAGATGCTTTTGGAGGGGATCAGGGCTGCAGTATCTGTGTACTCTTGCCGATCCTGGTGATATTGCTGTCTGGTCAAATCATTCATCTGAGATTGATGGTTCGAGCTTCCGTGTGTTCGAACAGTTTGCACCCATAAACACAGATACGACAGTGTGACACATGCACAAGTACTGTTTATGCCAACTAAAACCTTCCGGTGAAGGTGTTTCACGCGCGAGTGAATGCGTATTAATCAAGCAAGAGGGGCACGATCAAATATAGGTTTGCACACGTGAAACTGGCCTGACTGCCTTGTTCTCACCTTTACCCAGTTCTTCATAAGAAAAATCATTCAGCTGTAACACTCTTCCGGTACCCAGCTGCTATGCCACCCGAAAGAAGCACGAGGGTTGGGATACTTCCAGGTTTCCNTTTCCTGAGCTAGACAGGGGAAGTCGAGATGCAAAAGCTCGGTTGGCAACAGGGACATTTCGGTCAGTAAATTCGCGCTCTAAACGCTGAACCACCTCACCTTCAGTTTTCCATCGCTGCCTCGTACACACGTAGTATTCAAATTACACAGGGAATGGTAGGCTTTTAGTTCGTAAGGTTTGTCTCTGAGATAGACAGTCAACTGAATAGGTCACCGGCCTGATCGAATCCTGGAGTGAGTACAAGTTCGTAAGTGGATGAAGCGAGACGTGTGGTTTGTGTTGGTGACCTCATTTTCGAGTGCATCATCGGCCCATATGTAGCCAAGTAAGCAAAATCTTTCGTATCACTGAATGATCGTTTTAACATAAATGAGAAAAACGGGAATCCGGTCCGTTCGTAGTTTTTCCCATTGATCTGACTGATGGTTGCTCCTACAATGAGTTGACATCCACTTTGATTTATCTAGGTAGTCCGGTTGACGAAGAAGGAACTTACTTTTGCCTTCTTATCTTATTCGACCAGATTTACACGCATTGCCAGCTATTCGCTGGCTAAAGTATCTCTCACAATATGCCTAAATTACCTGATACAACTCTACGTTTGCTCAAATTTTGACGCGCACATCTGATTTGTGCATATCAAAGCACACTCCAACACAATCCTTATACTTCTCGAAAAAGGAAGTCGCACTGGCAAGGGTAAAATGTCGTTGCCAGGTGAAAATCTACAGGTCAGAAATGCTCATAAGCTTGAGCTTGTGTGTGCACCAAAACCGATTAAATAGTTTCACTTTTGACCAATGAATCAGCTGGTCACCAGGTGAGTCATGACTACTGGATGTCGCGCTGCTACTTGCTTGAGATTTGTGCTTGTAGAAAGCAAGACTGGTGTGTTAAATTCTTATCCATCTAGCCTACCAAATAAAAATTGTTTCTGTAAATCCATAAAATGCTTGGACTGGGACATGAATACCGCATATTGTACAGGCTGGTTTTAAGCGAAGTACTTGTGTGATAGTAGTTGAGAAAGTTCTTGTTGGTGAGCATAAAAGACACAGACCGAAACGTTCAAACAACGATTAGGCAGGCCTATAACCGTGATAGATGAGCTTCGGATTAACTCCTTTAGCCTCTGATGATCGGACACAAGGTAATTTAAAAACAGGCGATAAAATAGCCCCCTCCTCTTCTAGCTTCTAAGTTTGCTTCAGTTCAAAAGTGGATATCGCCGACTGACTAGAAAGCTATTATGGCGTATTAAGTGCCAGCGATTTGGAAATTCAATTGCCGTTTGTGACACACAGCTCATTTATAAAGCCTATGCCAACATGCTGGAAATTTGTTAGAATATGTGCAGCTTGGGTGTATTTATTGGTAGTTCATGGGGCGACCGTTTATCCGTCCACCAAACTTGAAAATTGACTTGCAAAAGTTCCGTCATAATTTTAGACGACGCCAACGGTATGCTGTTGGGTGCGTTGTTCCTCCTATTGTTTGCACTTATTTGGTTTGTAAGGAGTGTATTTAAGCATATATCATGAATTGCTGTTCATAAAGCATCTCGTGGGAATCTGATTGGTCCGTTTGTGATATGTTTTGCGTTGTGTTCTCCCACCTAGTTGTTTGATTGGCCTATTGTTTTCTTTTATCGATAGTACAGCTCTTGCTTCATTCTTAATGGTTCATTAATAATTTGCAGTCTCTTTTCCTGGGGAGTTTGGCTGATTCCCACGAATTCCGCCTGGGAGCTGCTATCATGGTTATTATTCTGTTTTGTCCTGGGGTCTCGAGTTTCTTGTTGTCGAACATTCCGGTCCAGCCAATTTACCATTCGAATCTGAGCGTCTTTTTTCTACCTTGATTTCCTGTGTTGCACAGATGGGACTGAAGTTCTTATGCCTTCATAGTTAACTGTGTTATTGTCCTATCAATGGGGCACAGATGTACATTTTTTTTTGTATGATCTAGTATGCTCATATTGTTCTGGTTGTTGCAACTTCACATTCGAGGTAAAATAGTTTATAAACAATCGCTCAATTTACAGCGTTGAGATACCCATTACTAATTATATAAGAGCAAGCATGTTGAGATAGACTACCCCTCAAAGATGCACGGTTTACATCGTCCAGAATGGTGACCACACGTGTGTAGGGCATCTGACAAATTTCATGATCAACTACCAAGCTTTCTTGCTTGCTGTTATGTTGTGGAAGACTTTCGCCTGGTTGAAATCGATGGACTGGTAAAAGTAGCTAGAAGTACCACGTTGAGACATTCGCTTTTCGTGGGTGGTGATGAATCCGGGTGGAGTTCATGACCCACATTATCCGGTTTTTGCACCGACGGCTTGGACATTGGATTCCCAATACGCTATAAAGACCAAATTTTTACAAGAATAAAGTTGTTCAAAATACGATAAAAAGAATTCGATGGATGGGCCGATAGTCGTCCGTGTGAGATTTCTAAATGACGATGTCGATGACATTTGACCGATTTCGTAGTTTCACCTACTCATCTCAGTAGGTATATCTTTGACGTCACTGGTTAACGTTGGAATTCACGTTGAGCTCTAAACAGGATGCTCTGCGTATACAAATGTAAATAATAACAGGTGACTGAGCGCCGGCAAAAACAAAAAAAAATAACATTGAATTAGAAAGAACGTGTGTCATACACTTCGAGCAAACTGAACAGACGCCTTGTAACCCTTGCATTTGGTTTGGAAATTTTGAATATTTAGTCTCATTAAATCTGGTGAAGCATGGACCACTAAACAAGAAGACTGATATTGACTTAGCGAACATACACTCATTTGCAAACTAATTTGGTTTCGCGAGAGACACCTGGAACCCGGCTGATTCTCTCGGTTTTGATTTTTACAAGCAACTGAATGTGCTGCACCAAGCCGCCCTCATGTTTCAGTCGCTACGATAGTCGAGATATCACGATACATGTATATTTGTAATGCACTGCTCATAAGGTCGACGAATTTTCAGCAACCTTGTGAGTAGTGCATTACAAACATATATGAAATTGAATTAATTCTGGCGTTAGAAGATATCAGCACATTGTCGTGTGCTACAATGGTTGTTCAAAAGCCTGCATTTTGATCGGATTTGTGAATTTTCTAGAGTTCTCAAATTTTGAAAACAACCTTCAGCCCAAATGCGGAATTCCTAATGAATGCCTGATAGTTTTCAACATTGCATCGGTTAGAAGACACTTCAACTTTTTGCCCACTTATGTATCACTCCGAACTAGGTTTTCTCGGGTTCATTGTTTCTACTGGCGATTGAGCGAAACTTTTGGGTTTCCGCACATGCACTAGTCTGAGCATTTTTGGACTTGGAATTTTACTTTATGTAGCGAACGTAACCCCACCGGCATTTGGCGTTATTTTGATCAGACCATTACACAGATCATGAGATAGAATCCTAACAAATGCTTTTCATAAGTCATTGCACCTTTGAATCAACAAGTAGCGAGCGTTTTTCCACCAGCTAGATCGATAGCGTGTGGTATGACTAGCCATTCATTGACCGACAAACATGGTTACCATCGGTCAAACTTGATGGAGCAAATGTAAACGCGTGAAACATTAGCGGGTACATACTAACAAAATCTCGAAAACTGTTCAATTGACATTTCGGACCACCAACAGAAATATGCCTAATTTATGAGAGGGCAACTAGGACAATTGACTGACACAGCCATATTACTGGGCAATTTTCATGGACCCCGTCAAGATGCCCCAATGAAAGCAACATCTATTAGGGAGTTGTTCCTTGTCTTATCTCAGTAAAAAACAAATATGGGGCTAAAACGACTACGATGTATGTTGTATTCAATGGGACTTGGTTACAAAAAGTGACTATACTTATTTTCATAAATGAGTATGCTTATTTGTGTTTATACTTATGTGCGGCCTTATATTCCTTGATCAAGAAATGAAGTGTTTTGTAGCTAACCATAAAGCTTTTCCCATGTGCACTGTGGTAGGTTTGAACGTACGGGTTTGTTGTTACACCATGATTGTAAGCATCAAACCAATACAATCCAAGCGATCTTTCAGCCAATTTGTGGGGTTCTACTGCTGATGGGCGCCTTCAAAGCTCGTTTCTCCCTAGAAAAGGTTAGCGGTGCTAGACGCAGAAAGTGTGTGGCTACGCTTGTATAGGTGAGAGAGGCTCCTTCAAATGAAACATGGATTCCCATGTAAGGTGGCAATCAGGTCGTTTGCTATCGAATCCGCAAAAACCATTGGCCGTGAGAAACTTGCTTATGTCAAACGGCGATTCATCCCAGTTATCCATATTATCCGGAATAAGGAGTTTACCCACAAAGGAGACGCTTCATATCTGCAACAAACATGTCCTGACAAGATCCAGCGAATGAAGAAGACCTCTGTCTCTGTTCTAGTCTATCTGGGTTGCAGTAATCTGACAGATAATGATCTGCTTTGAGGACTGAGCAGCCCTGATTTGGACGATTCTGTTGGTCTTACACGTTTTGCTAGAACTGATCTTGAGTCATTACCTGTGCCTAATTCGGCAGATGCAGCAACCAGTTGCGTCCGCCTTAATTAAGCGTTTTTCACTGCACGTGCTACATAAACCGAACACGGGATTTTAAGCACAGTAATAACAATAAGTAGATGACGGTATAGAATGACAAACAACGTGTTTGCTGGGTCGGTTGTGATAATCGACCGCTTATGTGGCACAGATTATGACGATAATACTGGCGAATAAACTCCTAACATCTTGTAACATTGAGGACATACTCCTGGAAATAATCAAGGTAGTACGGATATGGTCTCGTTACTGGAGTTGAAAAAACACTGACAGTGGTACTTTTAGATGAGCTATGGCGAACTGACCCCACTAGGTGCATTGATTTTTATAACCTTCGACATGTTTTAGTTGAGTCATCATTGGCAAAGCTCAAAATCATCAGAGAAAGGGACAGCGTGATCCGAATACATTAGTGAAGTGTTTCAGGCTTAGTTCTGCGCGGGAAAACCGATTCTAAGCTAGGTAGAATTTCTTGCACGGGAGATGGATCATGGTTGGTTATCTTTCACTGTTCTTTCTCTCTTACTTTATCACAGTTATACATTCGCCCGAAAATCCAAGTTTCACTATTGTGCGTCTCAAATTAGTCTTAAATGCACTCTTATAGGATCATGGCTGGTTATCGTTCACTGTTCTTTCCCTCTTACTTTATCACAGTTATACGTTCGCCCTAAAATCCAAGTTTCACTATTGTGGGTCTCAAATTAGTCTTAAATGCACTCTTATTATGGTACATTTTCCCATGCCAACTTGATGAGAATCAAGAAAAAATAAAACTTGTGGTGGACTGACGAAGAACCTTTGTAAAACTTATCAGTTATTTTAAGATCCTGGAAAAGCGAATGGGAAACTGACGAATGGGACCGAATTCCTGGTAGAAGTCTATCCACATCCATTTATTTGCCCCTTTCAACGGGGAAGATGGTAACCAGGCAGCAGATCGCGTGTTTGAGGAGAGGACTCTCCTTTTGAGAAGAATGAACATTTCCATCTACCTGCAAAAATAAAGTAAATAAATCATGGCTGAACTGTTTTGAACTTCACCACTTTCGTTGTCTAGGTAGGATCTCCCTCCGTAGCCCGGATCTCCAAACCACCAAGTCAGCATCGCCATGGGGTATAAAATAGTGAGCATGTTCCAACATTGATCCAAAGTTTAGATTTGGTGATCGGATTAGTCACGATCCGAATGGCTGTGTGGAACCTTTCCCACAGATGTTTTCCCACAGATGGTGTGACATGTGGTCAGGCCACATTGTTCTCCTACGTAGGGACCAGGTACAGTTGATGAATTGCATTTGTCAACAACTGTAGACAGCTCATATAATCACGTGTTCCGAATTTATCAGTTGCATGGAAAAATGAGAAAAACTCGCTATATATATTTTCTTGACTGAGCATGCTCAGTCGTGATACATCCTCATGTTTTGCGAATTCGTAGGTTTTTTATTCGATAAAAATCATTGTGTTAATAAGCAATATATAACCGTAAATAAAACTCATTTCCAGTTACACCTACGGCTTATTTCTCCCTTTTTATCCTACATTGCCAGTATGTTCACTGCAGAAAGTTGTTCTACCCATACCCGGATCTAAACAGTGCCAAAACTTTCAAGGTTATGCAAAGCTGCACGAAAGTTATTATTAGTTGTCCAAACGAATGTACCCAGTGTCTCCTAAGTTGGTTACTACTTTCAGGGTACTGTTTTTGATTCTTAAAAATCATATCAAGGTGAATAGCGATAGCTGAAAATGTAAAGTTTACAAGTTTGCCGAATTGCAGGTGAAAAGTTTTTGTTTTATCGGGATTTACTACCTAATCGGGCTGAAGTAGGACTTTTTAAAACTTGATCGGCCACTGCCCCCCCCCCTAATCTTAACCTTCTAGCTTATATGGTTCAGTATGCCGCATTGTGACACATAGCGACCATAGCGGAGTAACTAGGACTACCGATCTGCTCTGCGTAAACTTGTATTGATTCAAAACAAATCAGCTCTTTTATTTATAAATTCAATTGCAAAATTTCAAAGGGATACTTATCCTGGTGCGGATCGAAAACAGAACTTCCACAGTAATGAACCTCTATTCTGGAAAATACCTTGGGATAGTGCGCCAGTAATTTGCCTGGATAATAGAAGTTCCGGCTTATGGTGACAATTTCCCAAAGGACAACGCTCACACGCCAAGGATTATTTTTTAAATTCAATTTACATCACGTGGCATTACGACATTAAATAATACGGAATTTCCAAACTACTCACACAGTTAAGTATTAGATTTCAAACCACTATAAACTCCTTTTTCGGGGGATGATACAATAGTGTGAAGCCCTAATATTTTCTCATGGATTCGTGAAGCATGGGTGAAAGACTAGATGGTTCACCCTAGAAACGATTTCCTACTACTGCCAGTGGCGGCAGTAGTTTAATGTTACTTAAGATTTCAAGTTCCTCCGAAAGAATCATAACTTCACAAGTGAAAAAGATAAAACGAAGAGCAGGAGTTATAGTTTAACGGCGAAAAGCCATATCGTCCAATAAGAATATATAAAAAATGCTGCAAACAACAGCAGTGGAAATATCGGAAAAGATACAGGAAAATGAAAAACGAATACGGACATCTACAAGCCTGAAAATATTTGCAGAGATTCCCGGGAGGCGTACGATAAGGAAGTGAAATCTGATGACGAAAGCCAATTGATCAGATAATTTGTGAAGCCCTGATAGCGTTTTTTTATTAAAATCTCTACCTCACATAGTAAGCGACATTCGGAAGCATTAGGTATAAAAGAGCTTCGTAAGACACTTTTTAGTAAGTTTTATGAAGTACCTTAGACACTAATACAAACTCAGCTCTTTTGATTCTTACAGAGTGAGTACGTTTCTGGTATTCCAGTAAGTACTGCTTAGTAAGTGAACTCCAATTTGAAACCATCGATCTGTTGTGACATAAGGCAGTGTTTGCACAGCATCTTCAGTTGAAAAATTTTGCAAGTGAAAAATCCTTCACCATAATAATTTGCGACAACAACATAAGAGAACGCTGTTGCTACGCTGTCGTAAACCGTGTCAGACTATTTAAAAATATACCGAGAAAGTGGAATTGGACGCAGAACCTAGGACCGACCCAGCCCAAGCGTCCGATCTCCTACCCTCAACACTCTGCAGGACATCCTGGGTAGAAAATGACAGTATGAATGACATCAATATCGGTTAACAAAACAAAACATATATATATATAAAATGTTGTGACATAAGGCAGTGTTTGCACAGCATCTTCAGTTGAAAAATTATGCAAGTGAAAAATCCTTCACCATAATAGTTTGCGACAACAACCTAAGAGAACGCTGTTGCTACGCTGTCGTAAACCGTGTCAGACTATTTAAAAATATACCGAGAAAGTGGAATTGGACGCAGAACCTAGGACCGACCCAGCCCAAGCGTCCGATCTCCTACCCTCAACACTCTGCAGGACATCCTGGGTAGAAAATGACAGTATGAATGACATCAATATCGGTTAACAAAACAAAACATAAAATATATAACCCGCCACTACATAATTCAGTGTTTCTTACTCAATATAACTGAGGTAAAGTGAACCCAATCCTGGTTGACAAACAACGCCACCGGTGCCCAAACCTTTAGTAAAAGAATTCATTCCCTTTTGCCATCTCAGTTTCTTTTACCTTTGGGTTTTTCACAATACAAAATGGGCTGGTTGAAACTCGCCATGTGTAGCACATGTCAAGGCCATTTTGCTTGCAATGTTGGGCGAATTAGTGGAGCGAATTAGCTTTTCCCTCATCGAATACCACAACTTCTATGTCACTAGTTCAGCCTACTGAAGCTTCATATCTGAGGCATCAGTGTTGAAGAAGCCAGAGATCTCACGGTCCATCCACACAAATAGGCCACTTCTTAAAAAAACAACACGGCCCCACTGGATTATGAAGCACGCATCATTTGAGATGGTTGATGTAGGTTTTCATGCCACAAATCGGCAAACGTTCTGGGTTTTGAGTTTTCCGAGTTGACTTCGGTTGTCACAGTGCCGACAAGTCTAATTCAACTTCCGAGATACATATACTATCCAAAACCTTGAATGCCACTCTAGAGGCGTGTTCGAAGGCTGTACATGACTTTGCGCTTTCTTAGCGTCTGGCACATACTCGGGGACTGGATGATCATGATAAGCCTTTGTATAAATAGTTGTACTTGTTTTTATGAAAAAAAAACAAGAATAGTCTCATCCTTATATTTCAGTTTGGCAAGTTTCTCCCTCGGGGAGCTCCGAATATTGGGGTCTTGGATACCTTTCGACATCACCCTCGTCATTACGCGGAGTGGATGGAGGTTTGCAGCACTAACGGGTCACCGAAGCTTGAGGAATAAAGGTTACTCCTATAGTTTCGAAGCTGTCGGTGGCTTCAAGTTTACTTTCTAGGGGTCTTGCACTGAGAATCTAACTGACCAAGTACGGGCGCATATTTTAACTGCTATTCAAAACGTTCAGCTCAACGATACAGGCGTTACGTTTTTGCGGAGAACAATGAACCGTTCCACCAATGATTTTTTCGTTCATCAAAAGCCTTTTTGGGCATACATAAGGGATGGTAATCAGGGGATGCGAATGAAAAGTTTTAGAGTTCTCCTTTAATTCATCTTCACATTATGAAAGGTGTTGGTTCCTGCATTTACTTCGTGATGGGTTAAACCAAGCTAATTTTGTCAATCTTACCTGTCATCAGACCGTCATGGTCATCTTAATGAAAGAAAAAGTCAAACTGAATGTAACAAAGAAGATTAAAAAGTGGAGTTTGTGTCTAACTTAGCTCGTTCAATATTCTACCCGTTGTGCTCTTATTTTTAACGTTGTATTATCCAAAAGACAAGGTCATTCAGTGTGCAGCTGATAGATATCTCTAATCGGTTTACCTTATTCATCGAGAACTTGGATGAAAAATGTAAAATTCCATAAACTCCGACCGTACGTCATGGACTGAAGTTTTTTCGAAGTCAGGAAAACTTCCTCTGTTGAATTTTGCTATGCATGATCTAACTGGTTAATAAGCAAGAAAAACGTTCTTGTTGTGACAACAACGATGGCTCGTGATTGTTTGCACGGGAAATGTTATTGTGAACAAAGCACTGCCAATCAAATCTTGACCTTGTGTTCCGTGAAGGCGCAGCTTGTACGAGTGTCACTCAAACAAGAGCTAATATGCTTTGATTCCAGATTTCGAAACTTCGTAAAACAGTAATGAACAAATGCAGCAGTGTCCGACTGCCGTATTTCGATAGTAGATCAGAAAATGTAGGTCAGTGAAAGCAGTGCGATAGTAGCCAGATAAGACCCACACATTAGAATGAATTGAAATTTGTTTCATGGTCGATCATTGGATCCTCATTTTCAGTCAACAGAAGCATGACCGCTGATTTCACATAACAGGACCACTGTACCAGTTAGCACTACTTCCCCGCAAAGTATTTCAAAGATGTCTAGTCAGTTAGTTTACCACCGTTAAAGTCTGACCAAGGATAGGCTAATTTGTTTTACTACAGTTTGGGTCA